CTTGATCAAGTATTGCTCTGCACTTCAGAATTTTCATTCGCTCTTGGTGGACTTGAGACTTCAATTCGAAGGGCTTACGGAAATGAACCTGGCGGACATTCTTGTGGCGGGGCACTTATCCAGACATTCGTCGGAGTCAACATCATCAGTGTCAATGATGATCAAAGCTTTAAGATGGGGATACAAACAATTGCAGATTCAACCTTTTGGTGTGGCCTTTGGGTCCTTGCTGAATTCGTTTCAGACGAAGATTCCCCATGACAGGCGTGAAAGTTTGCCTTTCAGCTTGTATGTATTATCACAATTTGAGCGGCATATTTTGGTGCGGGAAACTTCACAAGATGAAATTTTGATTCTGGGGGCCTTCTTGTTGCTCCTGTTCTCAGGACTGAGATTTGCGGACTTACAACGTACCGCACCTACATCTTTGCAATGGGATGGTGCCATCCTTAGAGGATTGGCCTGGCGTACCAAGACATCGTCAGCAGGAACCCCGTTCGGGGCTGTGGCAGCTGGTTTCCTGTCAATTGGGACATACAACTGGTTATATAAATTTTTGATAACTTTGGACGAGGTGTTGACAAAGTATGGATCAGCCGACATTGATTTTTTGTTGCCAAGCATTGGACCCAGCGGTCTGCGTGTTCCATTGCAGCCCATGAGCTACGCAGAGGGGCTGTACTTCGTGCGCAGATTTCTGTCCCTTCCATGGAAACAAAAACCTCTTTCAGTAGGAACCTCACCGAGTTCGTATACGATACATGGTCTCAAATCAACATTGATTTCCTGGGCCACACAACTGGATTTGTCCGATGAACACAAGAGGCTTCAGGGAAAGCACCAGGCTCGGAATTCATCCACCAGACTTTACAGTCGGGATGACGTTCACGGAGCCATCAAACTACAGCAGACAATTATTCAGGCAATTCATGGTGGATGGAGACCAGCTACACCACTCTCTAGAGGTGGACACATTCCTCTGGTAGAGCCGGAGTTTGCATTGGAAAGATACAACAAGACGGCACCAGATCACTCTTGGGGTTTCTTGCAACTTCATGGACTAAAATTTGATTTGCCTGAACAAGGCCCGGCACTCCCAGCGGCAGAAATTGACGAGGTGGAAGCGTCCTCCTCTTCCGACTCAGGTGAGAGTGACAGCTCTTCCAGCTCCTCGGCATCCAAACCTCCAGCAAAGTCCATCAGAACAACTGAGGTTGAGATAGCTGATGAGGTCGTAGGGGCTCTTCATCGCAATACATGGCATGTCATGATTTCCCAATTCATCCGTTGTGACAGAGAAGTCATTCAGACGGCGTGCGGCCGCCATTTCGAAGTGACCAAACTTTTAGCTGTGCAGGAGTTGCAATTGAGTGGAACTCAGAGCTTATGCGGCCATCCAGGCTGTCGCAAGGGTTGGAATGCCGTCGGGGCCTAATGGCTGTCAGTTTCAACTGCATGTGCATGATGCGTTTGAGTGCAACCAATGTTTTTAAAACACATGTTGTTCAGTTTCACGGCAGTGATGGCGACTTTCGCTTTCAAAAAAAGACGCTGTGGCAGCGGTGCATGTTTTCAGTTTGGAACCCAGTCATTTTCCACATGTGTGGAGCTTCACATCATTTTGATGGGGGTCGACGCGTTTCATTTGAGGAACATTTGTTAGGGTCAGAATTGCATCCATTGATGTCATTATGAGCTTTGCTTCATTGGCGCTGATTTGTTCAGCATTTGCTTCATATTTTAGCGTGTCATTTCACTTGATAATTTGTCATGCGTTTACACATCAATATAGATGCAAGAGCATCCACTTGATGTCGAGACCAGCGTCTCTTGCGTTATGCGTTTCCAATCATTGCCCATCTCGTGTGGACGGGCTCAGCTTGTAGGTGGGAGTTTGATCTCACCACATGCTTCACAACAGCATCAATGCGTTCACAGATTTGACATATGCACTGCTTATTCACTTTTGCTTCAGGTGATTTCAATCTTCTGAGCGGAATTTCTCATCAATTTAATCAGACTAATCTAGGCGTTGACATCATTTGGACTTATCTCCACTTTGTGCATCCAGGGTTTCTGAGCGTAGTTGGCGTGCCAGCCATGAGCTTTTCTGACATCCTGGTTTCAGCACAGGTTCTCCCGCAACAGGTGGATCAATTGGTAAATGATGGATGGACCACAGAGCATTTTGCCTTGTGTGCCACTTCACTGGAAGATTTCGACGCAGTCATGACGGACCTCTTTGACACTGGTCTGAGTCCTCTTCACAAGGCTTCTTTGCGGCTTGCATGGAAGAAATGTCAATCATCCACCAATCAGGGCGCATTGGCTCCCACACCAGCATTGGCCAGCCCGGAAGTGGCAGCTCAGCCATTGGCTGGTTCATGGTCGGAGACCTTTGCACCAAAGCTTACGTCAGCGAACGTTAGCCAGATTAAGGCGGCTTTCAAGAAGAATTACCCGGCAGAAGTCCTGTTACCGGAGAATTTGCCAAGTCTCCGACTACTGTCTATGGTAGTCCATCAGAAAAGCAAGCAAGATTTCAAATGGATTCCATGGAAGTATCGACTCACATCAGCGAAATGTGACGAGCTGACGTCGTCCAAGTCGTCAAAGATGGCTCGAGCTGAAGGTATCCAGCTTCATTCCATTTTGATGGATGAGCCTCCTGCGATGGAGATTTCGAATGGTGGACTTGGTCTTCATGCTCTTCGACAGATGTTCGAAACATTTGCATTTGCCATGGCTATGGCGGAGGTTTGCCATCTTTCATCTCTCAAAGCCTACTACCTGAAGTTTTTGTCTTTGATGACACAGAAGTTTGACGCGGATACGGGGTTGCGAGGGCCGACAATTTTGGAGGCACAAGCGGCCGACAAGGCCTTGATGACCACGGCCATTGACCTTGTGATGGAGAGATCGTGGACGTGGGACGACGCACTATATGAAGTTACACACATTCGTGCAGATCTTACATCACTGCTGCAACCTCGGCCGAAATTACCCAAGCCGGCGGTTCCTATGCGTCCGGATTTTTCTTCCGGCAGAGATGGTCGTCAAGGGTGACAAGAAACAGCTGTGCATGAGATTCCAGTCAGGCAAATGCAACCTCAATGACAATTGCAAGTTTCATCATGGATGTGCCTATCCTGTTGGCGACAGTGCTTGTGGAAAAAATCATGGAGCATTGGTTCACGAAAAGACTCCACACTGACTTGGTATGGATGCTTCTGATACTACACGTGACGCCTCATTGATACAGATTTCAAGTGGACAGGAAACATTCACATCACCAGCGACAGTTTCACACGTTGTCCAAGACAACACATTGCATGACGTTTCACAAGTGCATGATGATGAGGTTGAAGAGTTTGCATTAGCTCAGGATTCGACTCTCCAGACAGCCCCGGTTGAATCCATACCAAGCCCCGTACCATCAACTGCAATTCATCATCGACCGCCTCATCAATACAGGATTTTTCTTGATATTTGTTGCGGGCTTCATGCCCCCTTGTCAGCAGCGGTGAGGCAGCTTTCAGGGGATATTTTGCAGTTTGATATCCTCATCCATTCTACGGATGATTTGTTGGACAATCAGTGCTACGAAAGCTTACTTCGAGTTTGTGCTTCAGGAATCGTAGCTTACGCTGGGGCTTCTCCTAGCTGTTGCGAATATTCTCGTTTAAAGCTGAGACCAGGTGGACCTCCCGCTTTGAGAACTCCCGAGTTTTTGCAAGGTCGTCCGGACCTGACGAGCGCACAGTTGTTGCGTGTCCAAGAGAGTAGTATCATGCTAGAAAGATGTATAATTTGTATCAGATTAGTATCATCTTCTGGGGGACATGGTCACCTCGAACAACCGGCTTCGGCTATGAGTTGGGATGAGCCATTCGTCCAGCAATACCTCCAGCAGGAGGCCTGTAGTTGCGTTTCCATTTCCGCTTGTGGTTACGGCAGAGATTGGAGTAAAACATGGTTGTTAGCATCCACATTTTCTGACATTGAGAAACTTGCGTGGTCTTGTCCCCATCCGAAGGGCACTCACCAACAAATAGCAGGCACCCTTGCACCTGAAGGACATTTCCTTAGCCGGGATACGGCACAGTATCCACCTTTGTTAGCTGCGAAGTTTGCTGAGCTGATTCTTCCATTGCTTACAACCAATGGCACCACGATTGCACTTTCCCATTTGGACCAATATTTGCCAGTCAAATCCCTTGCGGATCCACCTTTCCCCAGGCAGGATGGGGGCGGTTTTGCCTCCAAAGCAGACTGGAGTGCACAGCATTCCTATGAAGACTGTTTTAAAACTCTCAGGCAAAATTTTTTCTCCCATATCATGGATAATAGACTTGATAAAGTAATCCTTAGTGCTTTTGCCAGCAGATCGGAGGTTCCTCCGTTTTCGATGGAGCAACTTGCACCATTTCGACGTTTTTTGGATGAATTCCTTATGGCCCAAGGCCATGTGCCAGACTGGACCAATCCTAAGCATGCGGTCAACAACGTTGATAGCGCATTAAATTTTGTTACGGTTTTTTTTTTAAATCAGCCAAGAAGACTTCACCCTGCATGGCCCAGTTCAACATGTAAACAAAAACACAGGCCACCAAAAACAAAACCTGACACTGAAATCTCCTGCCAGAATGCATGTAGCCTATTTCAGTTTCGTTTTCAGTGCTGTGATCAAAGAACAAGAACTGAAGTCACCGTGTGGTTCGCAATGATGTCGTGTTGAGTTTGTTTCACTGAGCCTGGTTGCATGATTCCATTTTGCCTCGTAGTTTTGTTTCAAGCTGGGAATTGTTTTTGTTATGGGGGCGCGTCGTCGCGGCGCTGTCGCTTGTGCTGGCCACATCGTTTTGTGCACATCCAGACCTCAGTTTTGTACTGCATTTTCATTTTCAAGTTGCTGTCATCTTGCATTCACCTTCATTCTGGGCTGGTTTTGCTGCCTTTTCTGGTTACTTTACGGCTAAGCGGGGGTTCTGGACTTTGACATGGAACCGGACTCGCATGACAGTGAGATTCAATTTGGTACTGCTCAGCGTGAAACCCCTCACAGCCCCGGGGATTCTGGATTTGGTCAGCAGTTATTTGGTGTCACAGATGAACAGACTGGTTTGGATACAGATCCTCCTGGTGAACTTGCACATGATGATTTAGCCCCCAATGTTGGCATCTCTTTTCCGGCCTTGTCAGGTGCTCAGTTTGATGTCCATTCGACGAGCGGGACGCCTGCTTCGATCCCGGCTGGAAGTGGCCTGGACCCTGTTCTTCCTCATTTTCCAAGTAGTAGAACTGACATGCAGCCGACTGTACCAGTTCATGTACACGAAGCTTCATTTGCAAGGGCACTTTTGTCAAACTGCAGCACGACCGATATCGTGCTTCCGTGGGAAACCCCCTTTTACAAGGAATTGTTTGGCGATGAACCTTTTAGCCAGTCCTTGGTTCCAGAGATGCCCATTGGCGCCTTGTGCAGTTTTGGTGGTGAGCCTGGACCTCAGGAAATGGCCCAAACGGTGGCCGCTGTGGCTAGCTTCACAGAGGGTACTCCAGTTTTTTCAGCTTGCATTGCTTCGACTGATGATGGGCCTTTCCATGCAGTTCAATCGAAGTTGCATAATGTGGCTGTTCAAAAGTTGCTCACCGTCTTGCGCCACGACCTTAACAGCAGTGAGACCGGCAGACATATCTTGGCTCTCGGCGACGACTGGGAACAGCTGCAAGGTGCTCACAAGATAGTTGAAGCTGTTTTGGGTACTCGTGCACCTTCGACTCTGGTGAAAAGGGCAAATTCCTTGCTTTCCTATTTGCGATGGTTTGACAGGATGAATCGTTTTGATTTGGATCCCTTTTCAGAGGAGTGCATTTGGATGTACTTGCAACAGCTGAGGGAATCAGGTGCTCCTTGCACCAAGGGCAGTTCTGCTTTGTCGGCTTTCAGGTTTGCTTTCCATTTGCTTGGATTCACTGGTTTGGGGCCTGCGCTTAACAGCCGCCGTTTGATCGGTGTCTGTGAACTCATGTTGTCGCAGAAGCGCCTTTTGAAGCAAGCATTGGTTTTGACGGTCGCTCAGGTAAAGGGTTTGCACAAGTTCCTACGTGACACCAACTTACATGTCATGGATCGAGCAGTCATTGCCTACATCCTTTTTGCCCTGTACGGTAGGTGCAGGAATAGCGACCTCCTGATGATCCACTCTGTTGAACCTGATTTTACAGAAGCTGGCGGATATGTGATTATCCAAACGAGTAACCACAAGACTGGCAGGTTGGCAAGTTTGAAGACGCGTCTCATGCCCATCGTTATCCCGGCGAGAGGAGTCGATGGGAGCATCTGGGTTGGTGATGCCTTGAGCGTCTTCGAGAGTGCTGGGGTCGATTTGCAAACCCCCATTGATGGACCCTTGTTGCATGCTCCCATGGGCGAGCCAGGTATCTCCATGGAGAGGGGTTTGAAGGCCTCGGAGGTTTCTTCACTGGTTCGGAAGTTTGTGAGTTGCCCTGAACCCTCAGCTGCAGCCCCAGGAAATTCGGTGTCTAGCCACAGCCTCAAGGCCACTACCTTGTCTTGGTGTGCGAGATTTGGTTTAAGCCCGGCCGTCAGATCCCTGTTGGGCAGGCATGCATCGAGCCTGAATGAAACCTATGCAATTTACTCCAGGGACCTTGTTTGTGCACCGGTGGCGGAACTCCAGTTGGTTATAGATGCAATTGCAGATGGAAATTTTTCACCGGACTCGCAGCGCTCTGAATTTTTCAGAAAGGGTCATGACAGTGTTGCTCATGAAGGTGAGCCCGGCGTTCATGCTGATGTGCCAGAAGATGACTTGGGACCGTGCCAGACTGAGCTCGGAAGTAATGTCAGCGAGTTGTTGGAATGCTCAGGTGGCGGTGTTGGAGTGGGGAAGGCGACCAGACGGTTGACCTTCCCCACCATGAAGCTGGTGTAGCCGACCCTGCATCCGAGCCGAAGGGTGAGGCCTCAGACGATAGCTCTTCATCGTCTGACTCCGATGGTGCCCTTTCCTCAGCTGAATCTGATGAGCCTGAACCGGCATCGAGAGTGAAAAGGTTCAGGGCCAAAATTCCTGAATGTCAGCTGTGGTTTGTTCACTCCAAGTCTCATTTGGTGCATCGACATGATGCGGACGTTCATGATGGTGTGATGTTCACTGTTTGTGGAAGGCGTTTGTCGAGTGCCTACACGCCCTGTACCGAAGCCACGGCTTGGAATGTTTTGTGCAAATCATGCAACCGGAAATAAGCACCAATGGAGTGCCAAAAACAACTGTCGGCGATGATGCCTGGAAAAAAATGGCCGCCCTGGCGGGGAATTGGTCAAACATGCTTGATTGAAAAGTTGGGCATGATGGCCATGCAGCCTGTGTCCGGGGGATGATCCCCATTATCACACCGTCAGCATACCGCTGTCGTGTTGGTTCAAGAATTTATGCATGTACAAAAAAAATATCATTTTTCAAAATTTTTCCTTTGCAGCGCCCACTAGGCACCAGAGCATCGTGTTGAACCTCTAATGGAAGCTTCTTTACAATTGCACACAAATAATTTGTTTTTGGCTGTGCCCTGTTGACTGGAACATCCTGATTGATACTCATGCCAGATTGACTGGACCATCCTGCAGCTCGCATTGGACTTCCAACATTCTAGGTGCACTTGCAAACAGGGAGCGCCATGACATCCATAGTGGACTCTGAGGCACAGTTTGACTTGCGCCTCGATCAGGTGAACGTGCCAGCCCCATTGACAGTTGCCTTAAAGAATTCGGGCGTGAACACCATCTCCTCGCTTGCTTACTCTTTTGGCCAACCGGGCCAGCCAATTTCGAATGAGGAGTTTGCTCAATGGGTTAGACAGCTGGAGCCATCGGCCACCGTGGGTGGCGTTGCATCGTTGAAGCGTTTGCTCTTCGAAAGCCAAACTCAACTGCTGGCGCTTTTGAAGGAGCAGGTGACAAACCCCGACCCACAGTCGGCGAAGAAAGTTCCACAGGCTGAGAAAGAAGCACGTTTGGCAAATTTGCGTGCTCGACTGTCAGGGGTCCTCATTGAAGGCCATGCTGAGCCTGCCCATTCGCTTCTGGACCAAGCATCGCAGATGTATGATCAGAACATCCTGCGATATATACCCCTTGAAAAATGCTTCAGCCGTTTGACCGAACTCTCCGTGACTGCCAAGACACCTGCAAAGCATCTGGAGATTGAAGCGTCGAAGATTGTCATCAAGGACCGCGACCTGGAACATGAGACCACAGTGCAATCATCTTACCAGGCCTTGGAGTCGTTCAAAAGGCGCGGATTGGCTTTGGATTTTGCGGGCATCATGTCGTTTCCGAAACATGATCGGTATGTGCAACTGCTCTTCAATCATTTGAATCGAGAGCCGCCGGTGGGCTACAGCAGGTGCAGTGTCTCTCAGCTATTGGCTGCGGACCGAGCAGCATGGTGCAGCCTGCTCGAGGTCAACACGAAGCCACGGCCAGATGCGGCAGGAGTTGCAGCACTTGACACCAAGCTCGAGGAGGCTTTGAAATCATATGAAGTGAGCTTCACGCTCCTGCCTGCGCTCTCAAAGCAGGCTGCTCAGAAGCCACCAACGGCACCAGTTGCTGGAAAGCCCGCGGCCAACACCCCTTCAAAAGGAAACAGAAAGGGGAAAAACCGATTTCAGCCATACCCATCGAAAGGAAAAGGAAAGGGAAAATACAAATCCGATCAGCGAGTGCCTCGCGAAATTCGAGAAGCTGGTGGTACAGCATCTATGCCAACAGGCGAGCCAATTTGCTTTGATTTTTCCTTGAAGAAGTGCAAAGAACCAGTTGAAGGAGCACGTTGCAAAAAGGGCTTTCATGTTTGCGCCATTTGCTACGGACAGCATTGCATGTTGGACCACAAGAAGTCTTGACTCAAGCCGTCGTTGCAGGTCTCCAAAATTGCTTGTAAACGCAAGTTGTCTGATGAACATGTAAACTTGCCTGAGCGAACAGCTGATGATCAGCCGAAGCGCGGTCGAATTGAAGCCCCTAAGTCTTCCATGCATGTTTTGCCACAGTTTTCCGATTTTTGCACTACTGAAATTTTGCCTTGTAATTTGCCGCAACTGGTTGCAGAACCTGCCAAAGCACAGCCTCATGACCAGCCTGGCATTGGGCGCCCAGTTTCCACAGCCTCAGACCCATTTTTCATCGAGCTATGTGCCGGGTCTGCACGTGTCACCACCTGCCTGCAGTTCTTTGGTTTGAAATCGTCTTTTGGGGTCGATCACAAACGACAAAAGAGTTCGGGACGGCTGCTCACGGCCGATCTTACGACAGCCGAAGGGCAAGCTTTATGTGAACAATGGCTGGCATCACCAAATTGCGTAGGCATCTTCGCCGCGCCGCCATGTGGGACTTGCAGCCGTGCTAGAGGCATTCCAATTCAGTTGCCGTGTGGCAAATGGATCCCTGGGCCAAAGCCCTTACGCACGGACGAACTTCCTGATGGTGTTGAACACATGACTCCGCTTGAACGCACTAGGGTTGAATCTGCGAACACATTGTATGCATTCGTCACAAAGATCTGCTTGATGTGCCTATCAGCAAATAAAGTTGTGTGTATTGAAAACCCTCGGTCCTCCCTTTACTGGAGGACGTCATTCTTCGCACCCCTCAAGGGGAAACTGACCTATACAGTGCATCAGGCTTGCGCCTACGGGTCCGATCGGCCGAAATGGACCCTGTTGGCACATAACACTAAAACCTTGCATAAACTTAATAACCTCTGCCCAGGATTAGGCCCCCATCATAAGCACAAACCCTGGGGATTAACTAAGGACGGCTCTTCTTTTTCCACGGCCGAAGAGGCCGCATATCCCATGAAGCTGGCTTTCCACATAGCCTATTTCCTGGCACAGCAAATCGTTTTGCAAGGTTGGAAACCCCCTGCAGGAGAACTTGCTTTGCCCGATGAGGTGTCATATCAATACCTCCGATCAATTACCGGTGTGCAGCCAAAATCTAGCAAGCTTCCTCCTTTGGTTTCTGAATTTGAAAATTTCATTCACCTTGATGTCCCTCCTTCATGCATTCCCCCAGTTTTGCCTGGTGAGAAGCTTCTCACCCCTTGGTTGGACATCCCTGCCGGAGCTTGCCTGTTGAAAAAGCCACCACGGTTAACGGGGGGTATACTCGCTGGCAGATGCGCTGAAAAATTACCAGATGAAAATGCATCGAGCGAAGACTCACACAGCAAATTTCTCACATTTGGCATTTTTAGGTCTTGCGAAAATTTTGTCCTCAAAGCGGTTGAAGTGGGTCATCCGATCGGGAAGGAAGCCAGACTCCCGTCAGCTCTTAGTGAGGCAGTGCAATTTTTGGCATCGCACTCAGAGCGATATGTTGCTGATTGGAGGCTGGGCGAACTAAAGCGTTGGCTGGGACGTGCAAAGGAACTCTCGGCCGAGGAATCGAAGTTGCACTCAACGCTGCCTGACCCAGTAAAGGGTATCCTTGCCCCAAAGCGCCTCCTGCTATGGAAGGAAATGATGACCCACTATGGATATCCAGACCGTTGTGTCTTTGATGAGGTGGTAGCAGGGTTTGAACTGTCTGGTACGGCTGAACATGTGCCTTGTTTTGAGCCTTGCTTCAAACCTGCGAAGATCACGGAATCTGAATTGGAAGCAACCGCCTTGGCTGGCCGAAAAGCCCTCCTTGCCTCAATCAGGTCTTCGGGGGATGACTACATCGATAGCGAAGTTTTTGCAAAAACCCAGGACGAGGTGGAGTGCGGCTGGTTGGAGGGCCCATATGACCCAGCAGACCTCCCAGCCAATGCTGTGGTAAGCCGCCGCTTCGGAATAAAACAAGGCTCTGGTGAAAAATTGAAAGTTAGATTGATCGATGATTTCTCTGCCTCTGGGGTGAATTCCACGGTCCAGGTTGATAGCAATGCAAAGCTCCACACCCTTGACGTAGTTGCAGCCCTCTGCATGGAACTCCTCAGAGCGACGCCCGATGCTGAATGGGTTGGAAAGACAGTGGACCTCTCCGCAGCATACAGACAACTTGCATTGTCGCCAAAGTCGCGCTGGGTGTCGTTTGTGGCCGTTTTTGACCCAGTCAGCAAGAGCCCAAAGATCTATTCCATGAGAGCCCTGCCTTTCGGGGCATCACGTTCGGCGTATGGCTTCCTACGTGTGGCGCATTCGCTTTGGTGGTTGGGGTGCAAAATGCTGAAACTTGCTTGGTCGAATTTTTTCGACGACTTTGTTACCCTGGCCCGGGTCAGTGAGTTCAAGTCTGTGTCCATAGCAGTAGACCAGTTTTTCAAACTCCTTGGCTGGGCAGTTTCTTCAGGCGACAAAGACCTTCCCTTCGCTAGCAAGTTTAAAGCCCTGGGGGTTGAAGTTGACCTCTCCTCCTGGAAAAATGGCCTTGTGCGTTTCTCAAACACTGAACAGAGAGCGACAGAGCTGTCCGAGAGGATATCCGAGATCTTACATGCTGGAAAGTTGTCTGTGCCCGAAGCGCTCTCTCTTAGGGGCCGCATGCAGTTCGCGAATGCCCAGCTTTGGGGACGAGCATCAAAGCTGTGCCTGAACTCTGTGACAGCGCACGCGTACTCGGGAGAGGGCCCTGGGATTTCCCAAGACTTGGTGCATTACCTGAATGTTTTCAAGAGCTGCTTGGCCTCCGCTAAGCCCCGCGAAGTGACGTCCTCTTGGTGTAGCCCTATGTTCCTTTTCACTGATGCCAGCTTCAGTCCGGAAAATTCAGAGTGGCCTTGCGGGCTTGGTGGAGTCCTTATAGATCAAGATGGCCGTCAGGTATCAGCCTTTTCTTGTGTTCTTGGTTTTGAAGCTCTTGGAGTGCTGGGATACCCACGGAAATCCACGGTCATTTTTGAGGCAGAGCTGCTAGCTTTGTTGGTGGGTCTCATGCTTTGGAAAAAGAAGCTGCGTCACAAGCCTTGTGTTTGCTATGTTGACAATAATGCCACGCGTGATGTCTCGATAGCAGGGAAAGCTAGAACCCAGCCCGGCCTGGCGCTGGTCACAGAGCTCCTAATGCTGGAAGACGAGGTGGGACTTAACTCCTGGTATGCCCGTGTCCCATCCGCCAGTAACATTGCTGATGGCCCCTCACGTAATGACACTAGTTCCTTAACTGTTAAGCCAGTCCCTAAAGACCTAGCCCTTTTGGTTGTGAAAAAGCTTCTAAAGAAAATTGAAACATGCGGTTAAGATGGGGAGATGATGCGGCGATGATGCCATTGGTTTTTCTCTGTGACTTGTGGGGGCGCTGAAGCCCATTGCTGGAGCAGGCCGATGTAGGCCGTATGTGTTGTGTGCCCGCTTTTGGAAGCCAGTCGGGTTGCACAGCTTTCACAGTCCACAAGCACCATGCAGCATGATCGCTGCGACCAGAGACTCCCCATTTTGCGAGAGAAAAAAGAGCTGTGCTTTCGAAATCTCAGAGGTTCACTGATCATGTGTCCAGTCATGTGCGTTTATTTTATTTCTTTTGGGCGATTTATTTTCGTTTGCGTTTACCGTATCTCGGAGGTGTTGTCTTCTTGGCGACTAGGAACTAAAGTTAAGCATGCGGTCAACAACGTTGATAGCGCATTAAATTTTGTTACGGGATTTTTTTTATTAAAAAAATTCAGCCAAGAAGACTTCACCCTGCATGGCCCAGTTCAACATGTAAACAAAAACACAGGCCACCAAAAACAAAACCTGACACTGAAATCTCCTGCCAGAATGCATGTAGCCTATTTCAGTTTCGTTTTCAGTGCTGTGATCAAAGAACAAGAACTGAAGTCACCGTGTGGTTCGCAATGATGTCGTGTTGAGTTTGTTTCACTGAGCCTGGTTGCATGATTCCATTTTGCCTCGTAGTTTTGTTTCAAGCTGGGAATTGTTTTTGTCCCACCCAAGTAAACTTTCCCGCCCTTGTCACGGCAACTCCTGCCTTGTTACATGTCACCCGAACAGATCGTCACGGTGACCGCCGCCATCTCGATCCTGATGGCGTTCTTACAGCCGGTTCACCCGAGCCTCACCCGAGCTCAGGCTCTTCAGGAGGAGCGCATCTGCTCCCTGGATAAGGTCATCACAGGCACCAAGGCCATCTTACAGGCCTGCGGGCATGCACAGTACCTTGACTCACTCCATGGCCTTTGGCATCAAGCTAGCCAGGCATTGTTCCTGCTGGAACATATGTTGTGGCCTAACCAGCCACCAGAAACTCCGCTTCACCTTGTCATGCCTCGCGAGTGCCGGCCGTTGAGCGATTTGATGCTGGATTCCTTCGATGAGTTTCACGATGCAGTCCTCAATGCGATTCCCGAGATCCAACGGCTCCAAGAATGGTTTGCACAAAATTACGATGTTGGAGTTCACAATGCTTTCAATGACATGCTTACAGATTCCCTCTTATTGTTCAGGACCGCTGAGGCCCTCATCCGCGTGAAGTTGCGTTTCCGCAACAGATCCCAGAACCAACCTACAAACCCAATTGACTTGGATGAGGACCCTCAGCCGGCGAACCCTTCGACTCCGTCGAATGTGCTGAATCCAGCCGCATCATCGTCTACCGGCGCCACCTTGGAGCATTATTGAACCCTTGCCGGGAGATGATGCGGCGATGATGCCATTGGTTTTTCTCTGTGACTTGTGGGGGCGCTGAAGCCCATTGCTGGAGCAGGCCGATGTAGGCCGTATGTGTTGTGTGCCCGCTTTTGGAAGCCAGTCGGGTTGCACAGCTTTCACAGTCCACAAGCACCATGCAGCATGATCGCTGCGACCAGAGACTCCCCATTTTGCGAGAGAAAAAAGAGCTGTGCTTTCGAAATCTCAGAGGTTCACTGATCATGTGTCCAGTCATGTGCGTTTATTTTATTTCTTTTGGGCGATTTATTTTCGTTTGCGTTTACCGTATCTCGGAGGTGTTGTCTTCTTGGCGACTAGGAACTAAAGTTAAAGATCAGAACATTGCATTGTTCATTTTGCAGCGTCTCTGTCAGTGCATGGAGGATCCAGACACTGACTTGTTTCCGTATCTAATTGAGGGCGTGCCATTAGGTATTAATGAAAATATCGCCCCTTCCAAGTGCTTTCCATTGCAGCCCCCTTCAACTGAGTTTGATCCACCTTTGCTATCGGTGCATCATACCAACTGGAGTTCCGCTGAAGACGACCCTGAGACAGTTCGCGAACTCATTCAAAAAGAGGTGGATTCCGGATGGGTTGAACAATTTCCAGGTAACCTGGAGGATGCTCAACAGTTTTTTGGCAATGGTTTAGCCATAGGTCGCCTCGGTCTGGCACTTAGCGACAGCCGTCCACCACGTTTAGTCCTTGACTCCACCGTATGCGGTGTCAATCCACAGTGTAAAGTTCCTGAAAAAGCCCAGCTCCCTACCGCCAGGGACGTCTTGAGATCATATCCCCTTAGACAATCAAATAAAGAATTATCCGGGGTGTCTTTTGACGTGAAGAGCGCTCACAAACAGGTGGCAGTCCACCCCAAAGATAGAGGCTATCTTTGTTTTCAGTTCCAAGGAAAGATTTTCTTTTACAAAAATTGCCCATTCGGAGCGGTGGTATCTGCTCATTTTTGGTCCCGTCTCGGGGGGGTGTACCAGAGGTTATTTCACCGGTTATGCTTCCTTCCTCACGCAGCCTGTTTGTACGTTGATGACCTTCTTTGGATTCAAGAAACAACCATAATTGGACTTAGTGCTGCAGTGATTGCGATACTTTGCTTGTTGACAGGTTTACCGATTTCATGGAAAAAATGTGAGCTTGGATCATGCATTGTTTGGATTGGTTGGTCATTCCATATCAGATCAGGTTTCGTTTCATTGCCCGAGTCCAAACGCCAGAAACTGTTGGACCTGCTCCAAAAATTGCAATCTTCATCCCATTGTTCTCGCAAGACTTTGGAAAAAAAAATAGGACTAGCCTTATGGGTTACCCAGCTATGGCCGGACATGCGTATTTGGCTGCATAATTTGTATCGAGACCTCCATTCGATTCCGGCTTCACAGTTTTCAGTAGACCCCAGTAATTGGGATCAAATCCTTGCATGTATTTCTGATGACCTCATTTTCACATCCAAACCACCACATACTGCGATCCCAATTCAAGGCCATTTGGTGCAAGTGCGACACCATGCAGTGTCCACCAAGTTGGATTTGCAGAATTGTTTATTTTCCGATAAACGGATTTGGTTAAGAATTAGAGACCCTAATTCCTCAAAAAGGAAACTGTCATCGTCATCCATTCGGATTTTACATTTGTATTCTCAATGGCTCCAAAATCTTTCTCCAGTGCGATCAATGTGGCCAAAACCTGTTTGGCAGGGATTATGCGTTGCTGATGCCTATGCAGCTGGTAGTCAAGCTGGCATCGGTGGGGCCATCTTCTTGCCATCCGGCGCATGCACTTGGTTCAGGCTTCAGTTGCAGCATTCCGATTTTAAATCTCTGAATATTCCGATCCATGAAGATTTACAAAAAGACAACGCTTCTCTTGAGACATTGGCTCAAATTGCTTTGGTGTTTATCACGATTCAGCAATTTCCCGGCCCTCGCATTCCCATTAAGATCCCTACTCTTTCTGATAACACTGGCGCCGAGGCCGTGTCCAATAAATTATTTACGACAAATTTACCCCTGGCCTTGTTTTTGGAAAAACTATGTTTGCTCATTTCCACATCCCACGTGGAGGTTGAAGTCAACCATATTCCAGGCAAGGACAATACTTATGCAGATGCCCTCAGTCGATGGACCAACTCAGGTGACCCACCTTGCAATTTTCTTCTCAAAGACCGTATCGAACTTCAGCTTTCGACCTTGTGGAAACTTGACAGGATGCCGAAACTCGTTCCCTCATCCGCATGGATTCCTTGGAAACTTCCAGGGTCGTAGTTGCAGGCCATTGGCAATTTTTTTTCTTTTTGCGAATTGCTGGATAATCCCACTTGTTATGAGGGGTTTGTGTTGGCGGTCTTATCCATTCAAGTTGTCAATAGTTGTTTGAGGGGATTTGAGATCCATTGACAACATTGTTTGGATCAAACGGTCAGATCTTCGCTTGACAAATTATCCAGCAATGCAGAAAGAGAATACTGAATAAGCGCGAGTGATTTCGTGGGGAATTCAAGCTGTCGATTATTGGAAAGTTTTGTAACTTATTTGAACGTTTTATAAATATATATATATATATATATATATATTTTATTTTTGTGCGTTTGCGTTTTATGGTTTAGTTATATCTCTTGTATGTGATATAACTAGTTATGTAATGAATGTCCACCTTGAACTATTACTGTACTCGTCCAGTGTTGTTTGTAGGGGGCATTTCATGAAATATATTGACCACTACATTTTGGCTCAAGGTGGCATTCATAACATAACTGCGTTTGCTGTTGCTTTCAACATTTTTTTCCCCCCCACCACACCTCTTTTGGTGATATCACTCTTCAGTAGATCCAATTCTACGCATTTCAGTATCATCATCAGATGATCTTCGATGCCGTGTACAGCATATCCTATCGTAGTGTAGTTCTTGCATCCGGCGTTCCGATTCCGAGCATTCATATCTCACAAGTGACACTCCGTAGTGTCTTCTGTCCAACCTTGACATCCGAACCTCCAGACCAGAGCATCCGTTGCAGTCGCCGTAGCAACCTCCAGTATCGAATTCACGAATTCGCGAATTCCCAATGCGTGTGCCCCTTTATGTCTAAGACATTCGGGGGGATTTGAGATCCATTGACAACATTGTTTGGATCAAACGGTCAGATCTTCGCTTGACAAATTATCCAGCAATGCAAAAAGAGAATACTGAATAAGCGCGAGTGATTTCGTGGGGAATTCGAGCTGTCGATTATTGGAAAGTTTTGTAACTTATTTGAACGTTTTATAAATATATATATATATATATTTTTGTGCGTTTGCGTTTTATGGTTTAGTTATATCTCTTGTATGTGATATAACTAGTTATGTAATGAATGTCCACCTTGAACTTTTTCGTGTAGCCCGGGCCGGCCGCGCCGCGTTCGCCAGCCATGGATGAGCTTCTCATTGTGGTGCTATTTTCTGCATTGACTGGAGTGATGATTGGATCTTTGGGGACAGTTGTTATATTCTGGCTTTGTGGAGCACTGGACCGTAAGACAGTTATTGAGAAAGTTAGTCCAGAGTTGAGGGATGCGACAATTCAGGCTGAATATACTCAGGCTACAGCAGGTGAAACGTCAGACTTCGGACAAATGCACAGAGCTCAGACTTTGTCTTCTTATCATTTGTACATTGGAACTGCAGAGAGATGTTATCATCTTGATCGCCGTTGTCGTTGTTATCCAGATTGGGACAATGTGAAGAGAGGGCTTACAATTTGTGAA